TGCTTCTTCATTACGAGCGGTCACGAGGTCTTGGAGATCACTCACAAAACGGACGTGGGTGCATCGATCGGCCACGGACAAACGCATTCTGATCTTGATGCACAAGCTTCGTCAGGACAGCTGGAGGCGGTACGCGAGGACCTTGGACAGTGCCTTCACATCCGCACCTATCAACGCAATCGGCCAGTAATTGCTGGGATCCGCTGGGGTTCCTTTCTTGTGAAGAAGATTGATTGCAGACTTGCGTTAACACTGGAGCAGCGTGCCTCGTTCACGCTGGTAGTTGAACACGACTTTCCGAACACATCCGATGCGACTTGGTAAAACGAAGCCGGTAGCCCATCCATTCCAGGTGCAGACGTTGCACGCATCTTCTTGATCGTACTCGTGAGATCTGCAGCAGTGATCGGAGCGTTCAGCTAGTCTTGTTCATCATCAGTCAGGCGACGATCGATGGTACGTAGAAGCACCTCGATATGTTGTTGGTCTGGATCGTAAATTGTTTGGCCGAGCTGATCAACGTCACCCATAATACCTCCCCAGTGTTGACGGAACACGGTGGCGATGCCCGCCGGAATCCTTGAAAGCGAGCCTTCTGCAAGCTTGACTTTTTCGATGCTGACTCGATGTAACGATCCATCCAGCGGTCTAAAGAAATACCTTGACGACTTCTCCGCGTGTTGCACTTGCAAGTCGAAGGCTGTATCTTGGTTATATAAGCGCGCCGAGTTGACGCTTTCTTGGTACGATATCAGGGCCGTCTGGAAAACCGTCTTCGCCAAATCGCTACCATTGCTCCGGTACATCCCAGCAGCAGTTGAAAGGGCATCGCGAGCCTCTGTGACGGCAGCTTCTCCTTGGCACTTGAGTTTTTGCTGGAGAGATTGGAGTTGACGACGAATGGTTTTCTTCCACTCGTGTTAGACTTTCCCCGGATTCGACGCGCGTTGTAGTTCAATAAAAACCGTCGCAGCCTCACTTCTTATGGCTTCAACAATATCCGGGTATTCGAA